GCAGGGTGTGCCATACAAATATAAAGGATGGTGGTGAGGGTTGTTGACGCACTAGATTGTTATTTCATTCCCTAGTACTGGAATCGGAAGCCTGCGTTATATTAGGTTATTTAATGAGTCTCTTGTTATGCATTTTCCTAACTACTCAACCCCAGACTCAGGGATTTGGGGGACCCAGTCTCTGTTTTGCTTTCAGCTGAGCCTCCCATCTGTCCTAGGGCCAAAGCACTGTCTCAGAGACAGCAAGTGACTTTCCAGTTGTAAAAGATACAGACATTGAGTCAAGTGAAGGAAACCCGTCAAGTCCTCACATGTAACCAGCACCCACCCCCACCCCATCATCTTCCTCAGACAATGGTGCCTTTTGCATGTACAGACCCTTATTTCCATCACCTCTGTGTGAGTTTCTCACTGAGGACATTGCCATTTTGGCAGAACAATTCTTTGTCAAGGGAGACGTAACCACACTTTTAGAAAGTTCTGCTTCTCAGTGTCTACCCCTGTGTTTTCCCAGTCCTTGTGACAACCCAACATGTCCCCTAGGCCAGCGGTTGCCACCCTTCCGGACCTCATGGACCACCAGTGGTCTACGGACCACCGGCTGGCGACCACTGCCCGAGGCAGTCACACACCCTCCCTTTTGAGAATCACTGAGTGATCCTCCTTGAGATAAAAGGGAAGCCATCTCATCAACCCACAACTTTCCTATCAATATTTACATTTGAGAAGAGAACTTTTTTTCAATCCAAATGGCTAATAAATACATGAGAAGGAAGCCTAAGTTGAAACCTTAATGAGATCACACCACCCTTCTTCAAGAATGACTAAAATGAAAGAGACTGACAATGTTTGACAAGGATGTGGAGCAGTTGGTACCAGGAATAGAAATTGGCATAGTCACTTTTGACAAGTATTTGACAGTATTTATTAAAGTAAACATGGGCCTTCTCTAGTGACACAGAAATCCAACGTCTAGATACAGATACGAGAGTAATGAGTACCCAGGTTTACACATATGCCAATGGTCACAGGAGTGTTGTTAAGGATAGCCAAAAACTGGCATGAATAAATTAATTTCGATAGCTTCACGCAATAAAATATAATACAAAAGTAACAACATTAATGAATCTCACAGGTGTAATAATGAATGAAAAAGTCACACCAGAGATCATATACAATATGATTGCCTTTATGTGAAGTTCACAAACAGGCAGGTCTAATCAATGGTGATAGAAGTCAGAGTAGTAGTGACCTGTGGGGGCAGAGATGTTGACTGGGAAGAGGCATGAAGGAGCCTTCTCAGGCAATAAACATGTTCTGGGTGGTGGTTACATAGTGCACGCACGCACACACACACACACACACACACACGTACACATTTATGCATGCGTATACACACTATGAATATGTAAAATTCATCTAGTTTGATATACTTTTCTGTACATACATTTTTAAAAAGTTGGAAATTTAATTGCTAATTTATGGTGCTTTAGAGAATATGATAAAAATAAATTGAGGCAGCTGAGGGAAATGGGAATTTTTCCAGAGGCTATGAAAGTGTGTCATGAAGAAAGGGTCATGCTTCTGGGTTACTGAGGCCAAAATTAGGGAGTTGGTGTGGCTGGTGCTAGTGGCACTAGCTGATTAGTGATAGCAGGAAAAGGGAGGGCTTTATACGATTCCCCTTCCTCATGTATTTTTCCATTCCTTCCTGTCTATAGCCATAGTTGTTGTTGCTGTTTTCTTAGGTCTTACTTCCTGTCTTCCATTCCCATGGCATCATGGCTGAGGCAGTGGGCAATGTTGAGGAGAGTCAAAGAGGGCACAGGCAGTGGTCATGCACCAGGTGTTTATATGTCGGGGCAAAACCCCTTCCCTGTAACTTCCAGCCCACAGGGAGGCTGGGACGGATGTTAAAGAAGCAAGGGGAGATTCTGGGTCCCTGGAGGCGAACCAGGAATGTGTGGTGGTGCAGCCAGTGAATAGGAGGAGAGGCCACTCAGAGAAAGAGGAAGGCCAGTCATTGCACCTCAGTGGGGACATGAGCAGCACGGAAGAGAGGAGATTTTGTCCAGCCTTCTTGACCACAGCTGACTCGTTACCCAAACTTGAGGTTTAATTTGGGACATACAATAGAGCCTTTGCTCATACCATTGTAAGCCCCAACTGGACTTGGCACTCTTTCTGGTCCTTCATGGTGGTTTTCCTAAGAAGAATGATTTACAGGGCAATATTGTTAATTATATGCTGTGCATGAATGTGTATTTCAGCCCAGCACACTGTGATAAGGAATAAGACGGTCAGGTGCTGGGCGTTATGCTGCGCCATAAGGTGTAATCTAGCTGACCAGTTTCCAGCTGGACTCAAGTTGGGATGCTGTACAGCTGATACAACAAATGTTTTAATTTGTCACTTGAATGTCACTGAAAAAATGTATTTTGTCACTAAAATGAAATTAAAAACTGCATGGGTTTGGATAAACTATGGCTATATAGATATCTATGGCTACTTAGAATAGGAACTACAAGCAAATACTGATTTATTGAGGGCTGTATGTGCCTTCTTAAGTGACAGTTCTGCTAGTAACATTTTGCTGCCAATGTCTTGTTATAATTTAGAAAATTGATATTTTGGGATCCTTAATAAAAGCTTTATTAGAATTAATGATAGAAGGAAATGAGTATTATTTACAAAGGAAATGCTAATAGCCAAATCTGTTAACCATTGAGCTTCGTACACCAAGATACAAATGACTGCTAATTTTGAAATGGTCACATTCTGCTTTTGCTTGTTAATTAATTGCCGTTGCAAATGACTCTATAATCTTTCTTTTTAAAGTCAGCACATTTTTTATCTCTCATGTTCCAATTAACTTTGGTTTCCCTTTGGATCACTGCCTTAGTCCATTTGGGCTGCTGTAACAAACACCACCGACTGGGTAGCTTATAAACAACAGATATTTAGTGCTTGGAGTCCTAGAGGCTGGGAAGTCCAAGATCAAGGCACCAGCATGGTCTCCTTTTGCCGAGGGCCCTTTTCCGGTTGCAGGCCTCCCCCTTGTCCTTACATGGAGGAAGCGACTGGGAATCCTTTGGAGTCTCTTTGCAAGGCACTATTCCCATTTTGAGGGTTCCACCATCTAGACTTTAGCATCTCCCAAAAGCCCCGCCTACTAATGCCATCACCTGTTGGTACTGTATTTCAACAGATGAATTTGGTCTGAGTGAATTTCAAACATTTGAACCAGAGCAACCAGCAGGCAGATGACCTTAAGTCTCCGTTTCCAGCTCTGGTTTCCTTTCGCTTCCTGAATTTTCCTCCCCTGCTGCTGGATATTTACACTTGGGTATCCCAGTGTGACCTTCCTGTGTAGCACTGTTCTCTTCATCTACCTTCTTCCTCCTCAGAGCTTTCCACAAAACCAACGATGTCTTCCTCTTTTCTGGGATTAGAAGCCTTCCAGGCACCTTCAACTCCTTTCTCTTTGGGGGCCAAACACCAGGAACTGTCCATTTGTGTGTGTGTGTTGTGTGTGTGTGTGTGTGTGTGTTTAATCTTTACTCCTTTTCTTGATTATTCTCGTGGTCACCAACCTGGCTTGTCACCATTCTCATACTTGTATTGCTCCTTCAGTGATCCAACTTTTAATCTTTTCTCACCAAGCCATGTGCTGCCCACATGAATTTCCCCAGAGCCTGCCTTTGATGATGTCTTCCCTCCTGCTTAGAAACCTTTAGTGTAGCTCCCTATTCTCAATAAAATGGAACCCAAACCTAGCCTGGCTTTAACCAGCTCTCTTTCCAGATATATACTTTACCAAAACTTCTTTTGTAGCCAGTGGTTTGACTCACAATTTCCTGATGCCCCTTCCCTTCTGCGGTCTCTGTGTTTATGCTCCTGCATCCACCCTCAGAGATCACTCACCTTCTACCCAACTTCTTCCCAACTTCAGTGCCCGAAGTCTTACCTGCTTTTCAGTACTGCCGTCTCCCCTACCTCCAACTTCCTCTCCTAGCTCTTCCTGTGTACACAGGCCATTTCATACTTTAACTTCAAGTTTACGACCTTTCCTCTAATTGTGGTAACTTGAACTCATGATCACTTCTTGAATTTTTTGCATAGCTGTATGTATGACTAGATTGTCAATGTCTCCAGGGTGAACTGTTTGCTTCTCTGTAAGCTCTAGAGTACCTAACACACACTCACAGTAAAAAGGTAAGCTCTGTGAAGGCCGGAATCTTTTGTCAGTTTTGTGCACTGTTAAATCCCTAGTATCTAGAACAGCACTGGACACATAGTAGGTGCCTAATAAGTATTTGTCATATAAAATTGTAGATGTTTGATAGCTTGTGATTTCATTTTAGTTCATTCACACCTGCTGCATTAAAAGATGCTAGCATCTTGCCTGGCCGGCATGGATCAGTGGTTGAGCATCAACCTATGAACCAGAAGGTCATGGTTTGATTCTTGGTCAGGGCACATGCCCCAGGTTGCAGCCTCAATCCCCAGTGTGGCGGTGCAGGAGGCAGTTGATCAATGATTCTCTCTCATTATTGATGTTTCTATCTCTCCCTCTCCCTTCTTCTCTAAAATTAATAAAAAATATTATTTAGAAGATGCTAGCATCTCTTATTTACTACCAGAGGCCCAGTGCATGAAATTTGTACACAGGTAGGGTCCCTAGTGGCTGCTGGCTGCCAGCTGGGGCCTCCCTTCCCTGACTGCCAGCTGCTGGCTGGGGCCTCCCTTCCCCAGCTGCTGGTTGCCAGCTGGGGCCTTCCTTTGTCCCACACTGCCCCTGGTGGTCAGCGCATGTCATAGTCAGTGATCGAACTCCCAGTTGGTTGAACTCCTGAGGGGATACTTTGCATATTAGGCTTTTATATATTTGGAAGATAACCAAGAGATTATGATGAAAAAGAAAGTGAACGCAATTTATAGCCAGAATCTGTCCAGCAATGGGTGAACGCTCCTTCTAAAAGAGTTGTGTTTTCCTGCAGATATTAATGAATGCCAGCTACAGGGTGTGTGCCCTAATGGTGAGTGTTTGAATACCATGGGCAGCTATAGATGTACCTGCAAAATGGGATTTGGGCCGGATCCTACTTTTACAACTTGTGTTCGTAAGTAATGATCACTTTTTATTCTCATTTTGGATGAGGGGTTGGGGTGGGAGGTTATCCAAAATAAGGTAAATATTCAGTGGTCAACTGAATATTGTACAGATGCAGGAAAAACCTCATTAAAATGACCAGAGAGAGGAAACGGGGCTGACATATTACAATAAACCTATGTTACAGAACCAAAATGCATTTTTATTGCATTCAGAAAAATATAATAGCCAAAAGTCAAGGTAAAGAACAAGCACGCTGAGGAAATGGATTTGATGAAGAAAAGAGAGTTTATTACAGTGAACATACCTGAGAGATGAAAAGTTTTTTCCTTCATGAGTATTTTAAGCATTATTTAGGCCGAGTTCAACTTTCTCCCAGCTTCTGTTTTTAATTAGTCCAAATTCTGAGTCACTAGTGTTTGATTTAATGAGGTTTCACTGTACTTTCTTAGTTGGAGAGTCTGGGAAATAGTTTTGGATATTCTATTCCGTTGTCCTCAAAAGCCACCAAAATGCATCCCCGAAGTTATACTGTTTTGCCTAGTAAATGTTGTCTCTAAAATTTTCTCTTGTATCTGGTGTGGGTAAAAATCCTCCATCAAACCACATATGCTAATATTGGACTATTAGTAGACTTAAAATATAGTTTCTCCGAAAACTCTCTCACCACGAAATAGAATTCAGTGTAAGCTCTGCATCACCTGACAATGAGAGATGCAGACATTTTAGATACAAAATTCTCAAATGCAGATTTTTAAAGGTTATCTTTTTTAAAATGTCCTTGTGCCCATTATTACAACGTAGATAAGCAATGCAGATTTTTCAAAGCCGTATCAACTAAAGTTTAAGCCTTTTAAACTAACATATGATAGAAAACTATTAGGACAATTTTAAGAACAATTCTGTATTAATTCTGTCCTGCAAAGTTTTGTTCTTATTTATCTGTGTTTAATGTGGCTCTGTGTTTAATGTGGCTTTGAAATGTAAAGCTGCACACTTCTGGGCCCCAGTTTTAAACTTGGCATTTGGTCAAGACCTGCTCTTCATGATGATACCATCCTTTGTTTTCAACTGTGCATTTACCTCTAACTCTGTGCCCTAAGCTGAGACCATAGATAAGAAAGACAAGTGTTGTAAAATAAAAATGACAAGCTCATTCACTACTTTTAGATGAGTTTGTTGAGTCTTTGGGAACATTGTTACTAATTACTACTATTTTCCTTTAAAAACTGCCGAATGCAGATTAGGAAATTTTGCACGTAAGTTCTTTTTTTCCATGTTCTTTCACATAATTCTGATCACAAGCAGACATACAGTTATAAAGCATTTTAGCCAGTGGTAAAGTTAGATTGTAAAATTATATTTGCATATGAGGCATGTTTGAAAATGGATGCAAGAATTTGGAAATTTCAGGCCAAAAATCACATTGTTGACAATATCCAGAAAATTTAGAGATAATTTCTGGTTGATGTTAATTACATGAGTCAATATTTTAAATAGCTTTATAATTTAAGTGTAAAAGATTTTTCAGAGTTTGGATATAAAATTTGTTGTGAATGTTTTTATTTCCTTAAATAATTTGACTTGTCTTATTGAAATCACTACATTTAAGGTTGCAGATTAGTAAACTTGGAGAACTGGTCGCAAAGTATTTTATTAAACTTTGACTAGATCGGATGTCTAGTGTTAAGGGCAGACATCCAGGTTTTAATAAGATTGTTGAAATTTGCCAATGAGATTTTTGAAACACATATTTCCTTAGCATTTATTTTCCCCTGTCATTGCCCAAATAATACTGAACTTATTAAACCACCATCCATTCTTATTTGAAAAATAATTCAATTTTATGGTTCAGCTACAACAGCTGAAATGATAACTACTAGAAGACGTTTGTTGCTAGTTAAATGTTCCAGTTTAGAGTTTGAAGTTATAACCTGGGCTCTGTACCAGTATTGAGTGGGCAGATTTATTTCTCTTGCCTTGGAATTTACCACGTATAACATCGCAGAGATATGTAGAGTCTTCAGGGTTTGTGACTTGGTTCAATCCAGTTGGACTTGCTGGTGAACTAGATTTTGATAAAATTGATGGGGAAAATCTGAAGACACATGAGAAGAATCAGGGAAGAAGGTGATGCTTACAGAGTAAGGAAAAAAATATTGGCAAGATGGTACCCTCAATGGTTTTGGGGATGTAGCAGAGAGTGGGGTCACACACACACAACACACACACACACACACACACACACACAAACACATAGTAGCTGCTGGGTTAACATTTGGAATACTAGAGGCCAGGTGCACAAATTCGTGCATGGGTGGGGTCTGGCCAGCCTGCCTGGTTCGGGGCCGATAGGGCCAGGCCGGCCGGCCAACCCCGCCCCCTCGTCGAACTCCCAGTCGAGGGGACAATTTGCATCTTAGCCTTTTATTATATGGGATACCTTCTTGAGGGGTATAGAAACAGCCATGGATAAGAGCCTGTAAGCCAACTGAGGGAGATTGACTCCATTTATTCAGACAGCATGAATGAATATAAGGCATACCCTAGGCCATAAAAGGTGTGGCTGACTGTGAACTCAAAGAAATGCACTTGGCAACAGCTGAGGAGCAATGGGAAGCTCTCCCTGTTCTCAAATGCACCCTCCGAATTCCTTGACTCCAGCCAAAGGTTGCAACCATTTCTCTTTCTCTCCTTGCCCGCTCTCTGTCCTTGACCTAGCCAAGCTCAGAGAAGGGAAGTGGGAGGGTTCTGGCATTTGCTACCTCTCACCTCTCTGTCGGGATAGCTCAGGATGCAGCAGCAGCTGTTCTCTAGGCCTGCTCCTTACCTACGTCTGGGGAAAGGTGAAATTTTAGGACATGTCAGAGCAAATCCAAGAAAAAGTATAATAACCTTTTGCAGTTGGAGTGGGAAAACTTTCTGACCTGAGCGGCAACTAATTTTCTTCAAGAATTCAGGAGCTTCAGGATGAGCACTGCAGAGGGTGTGTCTATAGGTTCAGATAAAGGAATTCTGAGCCTGGACTTCGCTGCTTCATAGTCTTCTGAGCCACGGGCTTGGAGCTAACTGACAGAAACAAAGGGTTACAGAGAAGATGTGCTCAGGAACTTCTGCCGGAACCCTGGAAGTCATGAGATAAAGGACACATCCCTTCAAAGCCAGCATGTTTATGCACATCATTTCATTTTAATTTTCCTAGCACCTTTATGAGATAGGTATTGTTCTCATTATACACATTGGGGGACTGAAGTTAGGAGAGTTGAAGTAACTTCTCAAGGTCATACAGCTAGTAACTGACATTGGAGATTGAAAACTGGGTTTTGTGCCTCCAAATTTAGGGTCCTAGGTCAAGTTCATGATAATTACCCTTCACATTTTAATTGATATTAGAGCAGCATGTCTTTGAAAGTATAGTCAGAATGTATAGTCAGAATTTGTTGTGCGACCCTATAATGTTACCATGGCAACACTGGAAGAGTCTGTAGTGTTGCCCAACACATGGCGGGCTTTGAGTTTGATGGCCCGGCCATCTGCTGGCAAAATTTTCTCTTTTGTGGGGAGATCAATTTCTTTTGGGGGAGATCAGATTTATTTTTTCATATGGATGAGGCCCACCCACATTCTAGAGAGTAATCTGCTTTACTCAAAG